ACAGGGGGTCGTGGCTCTCTGGACTTCAGGCGCTGCGGACGACAAGTCGACGACCTCCACTCAACTTCCCCCAGCTGTCCCACCCCCTTTTCACACACCCCCTTGCTGCACCCCTAGCTCCACTCACACTACACCCCCCTAGCGCCACTCCCTCGGCTCCCACACACCCACCCCCCTCAGCGGCAGCTGCAGTAGTGGGAGACGGAGGAGGAGGAGGAGGAGGGGACGGCGCACACACCCGGCACCCCCATACCCGCCACCCCCAAACCCTAAACGCAGGCGGCGCGTAGGGGCGGCGTGCGAGCGGAAGGGGGGCGGGGCGCGGGTCCCTGGGGAGCTGCTACGGGCGCCGGGTAGGGCGGCTCGCGGGCCCCCAGGGCGCCTCGACGGGCGACGGGAGGGGGCGCGACGCGCGGGCCCCAGGGCGCCACCACGGGTGACGGGGGGGGGGGGGGGGGGACGCGCGGGCCCCCAGGGCGCCGCGACGAGCGACGGGGGGGGGGGCGATGCGCGGGCCCCCAAGGCGCCGCGACGAGGCGACGGGATAGGGCGGCCCGCGGGGCGACGCGACGGGCTCCCGGGAGCGACGTGACGGGCCTGCGGGGCGACGCGACGGACTCCTGGGGGCGACGCGACGGGCTCCTGGGGGCAACGCGACGGGCTTGCGGGGCGACGCGACGGGCTCCTGGGGGCGACGCCACGGTTGACGGGGCAGAAAACCGCCGCGGCGGGCAGAAAACCGCCACGCGCCCCGAGCGCGTGGCGGGAAGAAAAATCCGTCGCGCGCCACGGGGCGCGCGACACACAGAACAGCAGCGGAAGCTAACGGGCGGGACCACCCACAGGATCGACCCAGGAGGGTCGACCTGCTCTGATAGCATGTCGAAATACTAGTCGCAATCGAGAAAACAGGCAAGAGGGGTTTTCATTAACAAGCACAAGGATACATATAGCAAACCCTAGAAGGGCTGTACTCGCTATAGAGTACCCCACTGCAGGCTAAACAACCATCACATTCTGTTAATGTTTTGAGACTTCCCAAAGCCAGCACCACCACAGGTAGTGACATTGATGAATGGTTTGACTCGGTTACATATGCAACAGTATCATCCCAATTGATTGCTTTAGACCCTCCTGGGGCGTCTGTCTATGACATATTTCCAGAGTAATACTTTTTTTTTTGGTTCACAATAAATATTGTATTCCTTCACAATCTTTTCGTTCATAATCAACTCATTCTGGGAATGCATTTCATGTATTTATATTTAAGGGCGTCTGCTGTTGTCATTACGTAGGCGTCCTATAACGAGATTCGCCTCTCATCTCCTCCACTAACATTCCCACCACCCCAAAAAAAAACCCGACGCTGCATGCAGGCACTTCCTGTCACGAAGCGCCTTTACAGGACATCGGACGGTTAGATCAGTTGTGACTCCTGACCTTTCGAAACGCGATTCCCGCCTAATATGGTACCGGCTACCGTCAAATCTGCCGACAGGAGCGCGCACCAATCAGAACGCGGGGAATGCTCCCTATACCAAGCCTGGCATGCCGCGTGTATCGACCATTCATGGTCCAATCAGAGCAAATTTGCTAGCTCTTTGAAGATCCGATCTAAATACTCGACGGTCCAAAAGGGCTGAGATTCATCAATACGGTTCGGCGAACTTCACGATATGCACGAGCTGAAGGCGTGCCAGTCGTATGGTTCAGCCAGAAAATCATCGCAGGGAATCTGTGCGAAAGTATGGTTGCAGAGCCGTGGCCGCCTCATGCGGTGTGCCCTCACGCTGACCCCTTTTCTTATGAGAATACCAGATATCATCTTTGAGACGTCTCAAACGAATTCTAGAAATCATCGCGATCGCCAGGGCGTGTTCTCACGCCATCCCAAAAATGACCTCTGACTGGACTTCGAATGTGCCTTGAACGGAGTAACAACTTGCATTGTATCGACTCAACCCCGAGACACATTGTGTCGACAGGTTCTCTTACTCACTAAACACTGTGCTCCACGTGTACAGTGCAAACAGAGGGTGTACTTCTAACATACACCACCTCAGCGCATGTGCCTACAAAGGCCATACAAGGCATGTACTACCAACCCCGATACACAACCAGGTTATACTGGACGCAAAGTGTACACTATGTATACCCGCCCAAACAAGGATTGCGCTCCATACTATCTAAGTGCTCCTTTTTTAATAGAATTTTCATCTACGTAATTTGGTATTGGTTTATTTTCATTAATAATAACATAACATCACAACTATCAGCAGGAAGCACACTATCATGCAAGCAGGCTAGGAGGCTCTTCATCCTGGTACCGTGCAAGGATCGGGGACGCTACCTTCACTGCTAACCACACAACGATAGCACGTTAGTGAAGATTTTGCAAAGATCCACGTCGAATGTCTCTCGAGTGGACACGAGTTTGAATCGTGGCACCCTGTAATACGGCTATAAAGCCGCCGTCGCCTGCAAAGACAAAATCAGAGAAACAAATTTCGTCATGTTGCAATAATCTAAGAGCACCGTCGAACAAGGAGAACAAGGAGTCTCTTGACGTGCTCCCCTATACTGACCAATCGCCTGCAAAATTAGACGTCACAACCGTCGTCGTGGGGTTAGTGAAAGAGCATGATGAAAAAAAAGCCGTGGAACACGACCAGCTTAGTACAAGCATGAGTTCGATCTTTCTACATTCACGCCAGCTGCAAAAGAGAAAACGCACTCACGACGGTTACTATTAAACTTGCGACATCACGTCGAGATCTAATTAGTATAGGGAGTGACAAGCGAGTGTGCGGAATAACTAGAATGTTGACTTAGAAAGTGGCGGAGAGGAAGAACTACGCAAATGTAGAAGAAGGAATGCACCTGGAGGTGGAGAACTGATACATTTAGAAAGACGGGAAGACTATTTGGGTATGGAACTCAAGGATGTTAGGTGGGTGAGTGTGTGTGCTCATGAATTTGAACCAATCAGATGGCCGCTTTCCTTATCATCTATTTCATCTCTTCATCTTAGCCGTTTATCTAAATTCTCAATCGACGGTTGCATTTCCAACCAGTCCAGCGGTTTGCAGATAGGGAAGTTTCCAGTTTCCAGATTGAGCAGTTTCCCAACCACAATCTTCTTTTCTGATCCACACCGTCCAACTTTTGACTCATCTACGGTTGAGTTTCCAACCTGCACGAACTACTCTGATACGTGGAGAACTTTCACACGCAATCTGAACAGTTCATTCTTCCTGAATCGACGGTCGTTGTTTTTTACAGGCTAAAAATGGCTTTCGGCGCTGTTCTGGTTCGTGTGGTACGTTTCGGCACGTAAGTGTGATAGTTTGTGCAATTTCGAACCTCGGTAAGCGCGATCTGATTTGGAATGTGCTTGTAAGTGTCAGATTGTATCTTGCAACTGTTACACAGAGTTCAGTCGAAGTCTCTTATTGGTGGGAGTAATGTAGGTCTGGAACCCCAACCACAATGTAGGCTCGAACACTCTGGGTTCGTTCTATCGTAGAGTCCCAACAGTGTAACAACTGCCACCACTGTACATTCTCCCGAGTCTACATCTCGTAGGTTCGGCAAGCATGGTTCGTAGGGGGTCATGTGAATACCATGTGCTTTCACCCAACGGACAGTACACACACAACGAACAAGGGTCCAAAGTACCCACTGCATTGTTTGCTTCGCCAACCCCTTCGAGAACAATTTTGGGATGGCGACGTGCCCTCACGCTGATCCCCTCCACTTATGAGAGGACACGTGTTCTCTCGCGCCGCGGCCGCCTCACGCGTCGTGGCCGACTCACGCCTATGTGTGTTTTGAGTCGACTCAAAACACGCCGACTCACGCCTATCCCTCCTCAGAGTGCTTCCCGTGCCTGCCGCGCCCCTCGAAACCAGGGTTCGGCCATCGCTGTTCACTGGGATCAGTCACCGGGATGCGGGAAGTGACGCGGGATGTACTCCTCCCGGAAATGCGACTCTGACAGCTGCGAGATGTTACGGATCCGTTCGCCATCAAAACGGCATGATTCGTGTCATTTTAACCAGCATGCCATAACTTCCTTCTCTTTCCACGGATCTCCAATCAGCAAGCCGATCAGGCTCTCCTGATTCCATCCAAACTGGGAGCACGTTTCCCTCCTCCTCACTCCTGTTTCCCTTCTCACTCCTGTTTCCCTCCTCACTCCTGTTCCCCTTCTCACTCCTGCTTCCCTCCTCACTCCTGTTTCCCTCCTCACTCCTGCTTCCCTTCTCACTCCTGTTTCCTTCCTCACTCCTGTTCCCCTTCTCACTCCTGCTTCCCTCCTCACTCCTGTTTCCCTCCTCACTCCTGTTTCCCTTCTCACTCGTGTTTCCCTCCTCACTCCTGTTTCCATCGCTCCCTCCTTCCACCCCCTCTCTTCCCTTGCCCCCTGCTCCCATCGCCACCTAGTACTCTGTCGTTTCTCTCGGCAACAGCAGGATCCCTCCTTTGTACTATCGTACTTCCCGCTCCTCTACTCCTGCTTCGTTCCACCTCGGTCTCCTCTCGTCACTTCTGAGGCGCCTCAAAAGTAATTCCTGCTCATTTACTCCTGGTGCTGCGTCCGACCTCGCTCTCCTCTCGTTGCCCAAGCTTGATTCTGTTTAGCTGATACCCAACAACCATGGTAAGGAACGTGGGAGTGAATGGTGATGGCAGTTGGTAGCAGCTCATTGTGAAGCCTTTCTCGTGTATGGGTAATCTATGACCTACTGTGGGTTTAGCCAGGCTCCTACCCTCACACACATCAGGCCTTATCCATAATGAACCATCTTGCTTCTATGCAAGAAGGACAACCATTGCTTGGCATCAAGGGGAACTATTATTGCCAGTGATGGCTGTTCCTATGATTCGCTGCAGGTGATTCTTGATAAACTTCTCAAATATCACCTTCTATGCTTGGTTAGGCGCATCAAAATGTCTGATTATCGCATGTTATGCCCATGACAACTGCAAGGTGCCGCATGGGCGAATTCTGGTAGATGGTTGCTTGCACCATTGCAAAATCTGGCCCAGTTTGCTTTTGAGTCGACTCAAAAATCTAACCGAGCGTCCTAGTTTCTTTGCGTTTCCTCACCTGCTACGCTTTACTCATGTGTGCTGCAGCCTACACACTCTCCATATATGCGGTGTAGTGAACTGTTACTGTTGCTCCTACTCTTGCTCTCCCCTGTCTCTCGCATGCATGTGCCACCTTTCCTCCCAGCCCACAGGCAGTGCCACCCATCGTCGTGCCAGGTCACTCTTATTTTACCTTCTACACATTCCATACACGCACGTGGCTCGTCTGCCTTTCAGGAGACTGATCTCGTCCCTTCAGCATGTTCCTTACGCGAGCGTGGCCCATCAGATTCTGATGGTATGTGAATGCGAAACTGATTCATGTTTCATTTGCAGCTAGAAATTATCCTGTGTTTCCTTCCCCGTTTGCTTGTTTGTAATTGCATCTGAAATAATGCAGCAAAATGGGTCACCTGGTTTCTTATGATGATTCAGCTTTGATGGAAATGGACACGCATTCTTCTGTTGCCGGACGCTTTTTGCTCTACTTTCAGAATTCAATCTCTTTTCCTCTTGCTCTCCCTCTTGCTCTTCCACTTCATCTGCCTCTTTCTCATCCGCCTCTTGCTCTACCACCTCTTGCTCTTTTGGCTGTTGCTCTCACTGCTGGCATCACCTGTTTTGGTTCAACTTAAAAGCCCCTCCGAGTCTCTATTTCCAAACTCCACTTCGGTTCCCCAGGTGACCATCCTGTGCACGGTCAGCACTGCTCTCTGTGCTCTACTCCCGTGGGTTCGCACATCTCTCGTGCAAGTGACCACATCCCCAGTCTCTATCCCCAAACTCCACTTTGGTTTCCCTTCCCCGGTGTCCTTGCTGTGCACGGTCAGCACTGCTCTCTGTGCTCTACTCCCGTGGGTTCGCACATCTCTCGTGCAAGTGACCACATCCCCAGTCTCTATCCCCAAACTCCACTTTGGTTTCCCTTCCCCGGTGTCCTTGCTGTGCACGGTCAGCACTGCTCTCTGTGCTCTACTCCCGTGGGTTCGCACATCTCTCGTGCAAGTGACCACATCCCCAGTCTCTATCCCCAAACTCCACTTTGGTTTCCCTTCCCCGGTGTCCTTGCTGTGCACGGTCAGCACTGCTCTCTGTGCTCTACTCCCGTGGGTTCGCACATCTCTCGTGCAAGTGACCACATCCCCAGTCTCTATCCCCAAACTCCACTTTGGTTTCCCTTCCCCGGTGTCCTTGCTGTGCACGGTCAGCACTGCTCTCTGTGCTCTACTCCCGTGGGTTCGCACATCTCTCGTGCAAGTGACCACATCCCCAGTCTCTATCCCCAAACTCCACTTTGGTTTCCCTTCCCCGGTGTCCTTGCTGTGCACGGTCAGCACTGCTCTCTGTGCTCTACTCCCGTGGGTTCGCACATCTCTCGTGCAAGTGACCACATCCCCAGTCTCTATCCCCAAACTCCACTTTGGTTTCCCTTCCCCGGTGTCCTTGCTGTGCACGGTCAGCACTGCTCTCTGTGCTCTACTCCCGTGGGTTCGCACATCTCTCGTGCAAGTGACCACATCCCCAGTCTCTATCCCCAAACTCCACTTTGGTTTCCCTTCCCCGGTGTCCATGCTGTGCACGGTCAGCACTGCTCTCTGTGCTCTACTCCCGTGGGTTCGCACATCTCTCGTGCAAGTGACCACATCCCCAGTCTCTATCCCCAAACTCCACTTTGGTTTCCCTTCCCCGGTGTCCTTGCTGTGCACGGTCAGCACTGCTCTCTGTGCTCTACTCCCGTGGGTTCGCACATCTCTCGTGCAAGTGACCACATCCCCAGTCTCTATCCCCAAACTCCACTTTGGTTTCCCTTCCCAGGTGTCCTTGCTGTGCACGGTCAGCACTGCTCTCTGTGCTCTACTCCCGTGGGTTCGCACATCTCTCGTGCAAGTGACCACATCCCCAGTCTCTATTCCCAAACTCCACTTTGGTTTCCCTTCCCAGGTGTCCATCCTGTGCACGGTCAGCACTGCTCTCTGTGCTCTACTCCCGTGGGTTCGCACAACTCTCGTGCAAGTGACCACATCCCCAGTCTCTATTCCCAAACTCCACTTTGGTTTCCCTTCCCAGGTGTCCTTGCTGTGCACGGTCAGCACTGCTCTCTGTGCTCTACTCCCTTGGACTTGCACGCATTTTATGCAAGTGATGACACCCTTTCGTCAGCGACTCGGAACGAGGAAGGCAACAAAAGAGGTCAAGGCAGTGGGTGGAAGGAATGTGGGTGGGACTACTGGGCGACGGGTGAATGGAGAGGTGGAGGGGGACGCGGAGGATTGGAGGAATCAGATGTGTGAGTTGACGAATGAGTTGAAGAGTGAGTTGAAGAAGTGAGTGGACGAATCTTTTGGCTGGCATTTGTGCTGGTGTAGAGAAGAAAGAGAGGATGGTGGGAGCAGTGAAGCAAGCGGAGAAGTACAGGCCGCTGTGTCTCCCCTCACAGGGCGCGTCTGGAATCTTTATGGCTTGCGACTAGGTACTTAGTGGAAAGGGCAAGCGAAGGAAGTGAGACTCCCAGGGCGCGCCGGGGGCCGCCTTGTCTCCTGGAGTCCCGATTACCATGGCGCGTCCAGGGCTGCTGTGTCTCCCAACTCCCAATGCATGACTGGAATCTGGATGGTTTGCAAGTAGTGAGACTCTCAGGTTGCGGCCAGTGCAGTTGTGTTGTGTCTCCTGATTACTGGGATTCCCACTAGAGTAGTTTTGGCAATGTATATATTCAAGCCATTCTACCGTGATGGCAAAAGTTTGGTCAATAATATTTCCGCAACCGCAACCCATCTACTGTCATGACCAGACTCATCATGCCGGGCGTAACTCAATTGATGACTTCTATCTGGTAACCCTGGTAACGTCTAAGTGGTTGTCACTACAACAATGTGCGGATGTCTTCTCTGTATGGTAACGCAGCTTCTTGTAACGGGTTAGTTCAAGTCACTCCGCCTCCTCTCCCCTCCTCTTCCCCCCACCCCACGCCCAATATGGGGACATGCGTATGCGTGTAATCGCCGGTCGCGGCGTCGCGTCTCCGTAGGGTTGTTCATCCAAAGAGATTTCAGAAATCGTGCGGTTGTCATTATTCCTGGAGAGTAGTTCTTTGGTAAGGCAAAAAGTAGCGAAGAGAGAGCCCCCCTAGGCGTGAGTTCTGGGACACGGGCGCGCACCAATCAAAATGCAAAATGCCACATACGCCAAGCCTGACATGCTCTCGCTCGGTCACACGCCGCGAGCTCGAGATCTCAAATCAAGCCGCTCATAGACCAGCGAAGATTGCCACTCCAATCATTCGCGGATTGGCAGCTACCCTTTACCCCCTCACGCCTAGTCGGGGAATCTCACGCCAACGCCTACTGTCCCCATCTGAAGCTTGCTCTCCGTGCCGCTCTCCCCGAAACCTTCGGCGGCTATTCGGCCGTCGATTTGTTCCACATGTCGTTCGAGTCGAACGGAAGGCGAAATGGCCTCAAGGTTACCACTTTTTGCGAATTTCCTGCGAAAATTGTGGGAGATGGTAGCGGCGTCATACGAAAATGCAATCCAGCCGGGGGTGATGCAAGATAGCTGCATGTTACCATCCAGCAGAAATCACGTCATTCGACAGTATTGTCTCAAAGTTACTTTGCTGTAAGTATCACAAATCCTCCGAACTCTTTTTCTCATGACGTCAGCGCACTAAATCATTCTCACGCTGCTAGCTGCCCTTGGCTCTGCTCCCTCTCCACCTAGTAGTACCGTGGTTCGGTCTGCCGTTTTCTCTCGGCGACAAGACCCCTCTTTCCGTCCTCGTAATTTCTGTTTCCTCAAGTCTATTGTTTCGACACCTCGTGTGATGCTCTCGCTGCTCAAGCTCGCCTCTGCTGGTTGCTCCGTGCCTCCGTCTCGGTCTTTTGTTTCTCACGCTCGCTGCTGCTTCCTGCTCCATCTCGTTCTCCCTCGTACTCTTGTTTTCTCTCGCTCGCTGCTGCTCAGCCCATACCTAAATGACCTGACTTCTGTTCTGAGACGTCTAAAGAGCTACCTAAATGATTCGCATGAATCGGACGGTTGTTGTGGTGGTGGCGGCAGCAGGGCTCGTAGCAGCTCTGCTTGCCACGTGGCTCGCCAGGTGGATGCTCGTGGTGGTTCCGAGATGCTCCCGGTGCTCACCAGATGAATCGCACTCCAGCCAGCAGCTGGAGAAGGTACAATTGAGAACTCTCATACGCATGAGATGATGAGAGCGGTTTGTGGGGTTGTCCCACTCACCAAATGGATGCTCGTGGTGGTTCCGAATGATGAATCGCACGCCAGCCAGCACCTTGCCATCTGATGCGATCCCACTCCATCCCATGCATCTGATCAAGCTTTCATGCCCTTGCTTCCATTTTCTGCTATCTAGCCACTTTATGCCATGCCTGCCATGCATGTGATGCTGGTGTATACCCCACAAAGTGAATCAATGCATTTTCATTGATTTTCTTCACCTGATGCAAACAGATGGGCCATTCTGATGGGAGGCTGAAACTTCGCACCGCGCATGTGTAACATCAATCCAGCTCCCTGCTCACACCACCCCACCCACACCATGGATCTTCCCTAACCTTCTATTGTCTTTTGCAGTTCCCTCAGCTGGCATATAGCAGCTCTACGCCAGAACCAAAGCCTTGGGCGCAAGAAGCCAAGCCGTTGGCGCAATTTCCATTGAGTCTGCCTGGTGTAAGTGCTGTCGATGGTCAGCTGTGCGATTGGTCAGGAGGCTCCTCGCACCGTGCCCTAGCCATATTGCTTCCTGGTCCGAGTGCCATGCAAGAAGAAGCCAAGCCGTTAGCGCATTCTTTGTTGAGCCTGCCTGGTGTAAGTGCTGTCGATGGTCAGCTGTGTTATTTGATCAGGAGGTTCCTCTCACCATGCCTTGGCCATGTTGCATCCTGCTTCGAGTGGCATGCAACAAGAAGCCAAGCCGTGGCGCATTCGCCGTTGAGCCTGCCTGGTGTAAGTGCTGTCGATGGTCAGCTGTGTTATTTGGTCAGTAGGCTCCTCACATCATGCCCTAGCCATATTGCTCCTGTGGTTCTAGTGCCATGCAAATGCAACAAGACAATTGTTGTTTCCATGTAGGAGCATTTTAGTGCGACTTTTGAGGCGCCTCAAAAGTTGCCCTAGCCATACTGCTTCCTGGTTCGAGTTCCAAGCAACAAGATGATTATAGTTTCTGTGTAAGAGCATGATGACTTTACAAGTGTATTGCCAAGAAGGCTGATTCTGTGGTTGGATATTTCTGGCTTTTTTTCCTGCATCTGTTTTACACAATACTCCAGCGGTGTGTGTAGCCAGCACATGCCACGTCCACCTAGCGTTGCAGTAATTTTACCTTGTAACCATTTTGTTACTTCTCCTCCCTCCCTTTTCTGCATGCACATGCGATCTTCCTCCCAGCCCACTGACAGCACCACCACGTACTGTGGAGCCAAGACACTCCTATCCCACCTTCAAGATGTTCATCACATGGCCATGGCTAGTCAGCCTATCAGGGGACTGTTAACTTGCCTACAGCATGCTGCTTATTCGGCCATGGTTCATCAAGCTCTGATGGTATGTGGATGCGACATTGTTTGTGCTTCTATTGGCAGCTGTTGTTGCTGCCGTGTTCTTATTACTCTTGTTTCCAAGCAGCAGAGTTAAGCAACATTTAACAACTGCAGCAGAGTAAATGCCTTCACTTCATTGTTTTTCAAGAAGCCTCAACTGGATCTTTTGGGGTTGATTTTGCCTATGTATTTTCGTCCTATTGGTGTAGTGCATGGTTCGAAATACTAGCTGGTTCGAAGATGTGTTCCGCATTATCGTGGCTTACTGATTTCCGGTTTGTTTTTCCTGTTTTTCCCAATTTTTCTTGTTGTTCCTGTATTCCTGTTTTTCTTCTCCATATGACTCAAAAAGCTCCCAGTTTCTATATCAAAACCACACTTCGTTTTGCAGATTACCGCATTGTACGTTGCCGGCACTGTTCTTTGTGCTCTGCTCCGGTGGGCTTGCACGTGTCTTGTGCAAGTGAGCACATCCTCCCTTCAGCAACTCAAAACGGGGCAGGAGAGGGAGGGCTGTTGTGCTGGTAGTAAGGAGAAGGAGAGGGCAGTGGGAGCAGTGGATCGTGAGTTGGGTGAGCTCAAGCGTCGTTTGCTGAAGCTGGAGGGTGAAAAGGCTTCGGCAGAGAGAGCAGCTGCAGAGACGGTTGGTCATTTGGAGGAAGCAATGAAAGAGGGCTTCGCAGCAGTGAGGGGAGAAGTGGCAGCAGTGAAAGGGGGGTTGGCAGTTTTGAAACAGGAACTGGTATATGAAATTTTTGCGGGAAGAAAGGCGCATGTGGTGAGGGGCGGCGTGAAGCCGCATTTCGGTGAAGTGATGCGGAATGTGTTCCTTAGTCTGCAGCAGCAGGGCCGTGAGCTCATCATACAAGCGAGGGAGTGGATGCCGTCATTTTGTGGGCCGCCTCAAAAGCGAAAGCAGAGTGGTGCATGCATAAAGCAGACGGAGGAGTGGGTGTCCTCGATTATTGAGGCGTGTCAAGAGCAGAGTGGTGCTTTCACTGTACAGCCTGAGCAGTGCAGGTCCACCTTTAGGGCTCGTAAACAGCAAAATCAGGGTGGTGCTTCCACTGAACAAGCGGAGGAGTGCAGATTGTCGTGACTCTGGCTCTTGAGGCATGCCTGGGACTTGCAAATAGGTGTATGGGAAGTGAGTTTGGTAGGATGGTAGGGGTGCAGTGCAGGCGACAATGCATTGCATGGGCAGCTGATCATTTGTGCTGGTTGTAAGGGGAGATGAGGGATGAGCTGCTAGGAAGGCAGGCAGGGAGTACTGGTGCAAGTGCAACCAAGAGAGAGGGCTGCGCTATAGCTGGTTTTTGTGTGCCGGAAGTCTGAGTTGAAAGCCTGTAGCAGCTCGTGTACTAGACTTTGATGAATGGTTTGATTTTATCACGTAGATGTGGTATTATCATCATTGAAAGCATCCCGTTTCATCTGCTGGTGTACACCCTCTTGGGGTGTCTCTGGTGTTATCAATGCACAAATCAGTGATGATTTTTTTTTTTTTCATTATGATTATATCCAAATACACCGAAAGAGCCAGCGTACAAGCGATATATGTCAGTCGTAACTGAGCGTGAGAGGCCGAAACCCTCATGGTGGCCTCACGTGAGGCTTCTAAGGCGGATGCAGAGCTCCCCTTGCCAGACTCCAAAGCGCGCCGAAACTGTGCGTCCACTTCCAACCTTTCACCGTCATGCAGCGAATGCGGCGAAGCAAACCGTCCTCCTGCTCTGCCAGCGCATGAGTTCTCCTTTGTCCCTTCGAACCACCACTGCTGCCAATCTTCTTTCCCATTGCTCACGTGTACACCTTCACATGCAGCCGAAAGGCCGCCTCGATGCGTCTGAGTACCCGCCGAGACCGGAATCTTTTCCCCCGAAACACACAATCGCATCTCTCCACCCAGATCTGGTGAACAGCAATTGCAGAGAAGGTCGCTTCGGGGAACGCTGAGGCCGATGCTGCCTTCCCGAAGAACAGGTCCCCCAGGTCCGACACTTGCCTCGCAGGGTTCAGCATGCGCATGGACCGCTTGACTGCCACCACCACCTGCTGGATGCGCGGGCAGCTGAAAAGGCAGTGCTTCAATGTTTCAAAATCCCCACAGTGCGGGCAGACCGGCCTGCCACTTAGAAAAGAGAGCCTCTCCCCCACTTGCAGGTTGAGGCTGTGAATCCTAAGCAACACGTCGCGCGGCCTGTTCGGTGTCACCAGCGAGTCCCGTGCCTTGATGACTTTCTTCCAGTCAATTTCCCCAGTCCACCTGCCCGCCGAAAGCTCCCTCTTAGCGGATTGACGCTTCTGCCCCTTCCAACATCCCTTCAGCTCTTTCAACGACGCCACCTGCCCGTCCTTGAACAGTGCCGATTTCTGAAGGCGGGGAGCCGTAGGCGGAGGTATCAGTTGCTCGGCAGACAGTAGACTCTCCTTCCAGGTCCGTGGCACCGCTTCCCAAGCCCGTAGTGCCAGCTTTGCTTGCTTAGAGCCTCCCAGCTCCCTTGTCAGGGTTTTCACTTCTTTGACCTTTCGTCCCCCCGCGCCATCCAGTAGCAAAAGATCACCCAGCCGGAGCTCCCACAGCTTCGCCGCAGCCTTCTGACCTCCCACCGGTACCCTGCCGTTGAGCAGGATGTTGCGGTTATAGACAATCTGCTCCGCTACGATTTCTTCCTTTGTTAAGGCCGGTAGTGAATCTAACACTGCATAAAGCTCCCGCAGGCCAGCTTCCATCTCTTGCTTTTCCCACGCCAGCACTTCAGAAGCTTTACGTGAGCGACAAAGGTGTCCGTCCCCAGCGGCAAATCCACCGCTGCGAGCATAATGTCCCGCTTCAGTTCACTCGTCTCGGTGAGCAACAGTCCGATGCGCCTGGCTGCGAGACAGGTGAGCTCTATTTCCGGGTCCCTCACCCCCACACCGCCATCAGCCCTGGCCGTATACAGTAGGTCCCGACTCCACAGTATGAATTTCTTATCAGTGACCGCGTGGTTGCCTGATACAAAGTTGTGCGACAGCTTCAAAATCCTCCCCCAAATATCCATCGGCGGCGGGTACACCTGCGCCTGGAAGAAAATTATGGGTGAGATATAGCAGTTGATTACCGCTACCCTGGCACCTGTGGTGAGATGCTGCGTCTCCCATTGTTTCAGCTTATCCTTGATCCGCGCGACAGCTTTTTCCCAGGTGGGGGCACAGCTGCCGGCCGGCGTCACCCACACGCCCAGGAGTCTCTCTGCTTCGTCCGCCTTTACCCACTTGAAACCGTCCGTCTTGCAGGCCTGTTTGTTCAGGTTACACCCCAGGGGTAAGATGGATGACTTCTCTATGTTCGTTGCTAGCCCCAACTCTACCTCGAAGTCAGCTAACAGCCGCTCTGCCTCCGCAATCTGTTCTTCTCCTTGCAAGACTAAAGTCGTGTCATCAGCATACCCCAGATACGCCAGCCGCTGCTCCCCCTTTCCAAGACCAAGATTTTTAGCAGCCGCCTGCTGGGCCAGCGGTTCCACCACGCACAGGAAGAGGTAAGGTGCGAGCGGACATCCCTGCCACACCTCAGACACCACATCAACCGCTTCCCCCATCCAGCCGTTGATTAACAGACTGGTCCGTGTATCCTTGTGCAGGCCCCTAACCCAGTCCACGAGACGGCTCGGAAAACCCATCCGCTCGAGCACCGTGAACAGGAAGTTCCTCGAGACCGAGTCGAAAGCTTTCCTAAAGTCGACCAGCAGAAGATACCAGTCACGGTCCTTGTTCTTCGTGGCCTTGATAACATCCGCAACCAAGCCAACCGCATCCGACAGCCTTCTACCAGGCAAGAAACCGTACTGCTCTGGAGAGATGACTTCATGCAGCACTCTTTTCATCCTGTCTGCCACCACCCTCGCGATCACTTTGTAGGTGAAGCTCAGAAGAGTGATCGGTCTGTAGTTCTCAAGCTGATCCCTCCCCCCTTTTTTGTGAAGCAGGATGGTAACAGCGTCCTTTGTACTTGTCGGCAGCGTCGCCGTAGCCGCGAAACTGTCGACCAGCTTCATGAAATGTTTGCCCAAGATATCCCAGTGGAACTCGAACAGCTCCTTCGGCAACCCATCTTTCCGGGGAGCCTTGTCCTTCGCCATCGAACGGAAAGCAGCTTTCACCTCTTCCTCCGACCAGGCCGCGCACACCGCTTCCGCCGACTTCTGCGACAGAGACCTCCCGGGAGCAGGAGACCAAGCAGACACGGCCTGCTGTCTGTCACCTCCGAACAGCTCCTTATAATACTGTGACGCTGCTCTCAGGATAGCTTCGTTGTCGTTCACCAGCTTTCCATCTGCGTTTAACTCCGTAATCTGCGTCCGCCCCTTTCTGGATTTGATTTTTGCTGACAGGTGCGGGGAGGCCACTTCACCCATGACCTCTTCCTTCACCCCGGCCATTACATGAAGACGCTCCTGCCGAACCAGCTGGTAGCTCTTCAACTGCGCCTCTCTTTCATCCAGCAAGGTTTTCAGCCGAGCACACCCGGGGTCACCCAGCCACGCCTGCTTTAGCTCCGCAACCGACCGCTGTAGGTGGCCCATCGTAGCCCGGACCCTCTTCCGCTCCTCTTTCGCGTAAGCTCGTAGAGCAGTATTGAGGCGGGAGATTAGAAGCTCAAAACCATCCCCACATGAGTCCGCTTGTCGTTCCACGCTTCGATCACCTTTCTGACCCCCGGTCTGTCCAGCATTTATGCAGGAAGCCTCCAGAGCCCCGGGCCCAGCTGCACCCGCGTGTTCAACCTGAAAGCCGCCTTCACTGCAAAGCTGTGGTCAGAGATGGGGTCAGCCGGCATAATGTGTGAGACGAACTCGACATGCGCCAGCAATGATTGCGAGATAAGTGCTATGTCTATGCGCGAACTGAACTGATTGGCGCAGGAGTAGAAAGTGAATTCCCTCTTGTATGGATGTAGAACTCTAAAAGCATCCGAGAGGTGGAAGGCGCCGCAACGACGGTACAGCTCCTCATTCTCTTTCGTGGACCCCTTCCGTGATGTCCTATCTAACAGCGGATCTTCTACAAGATTGAAGTCCCCCATAATGAGCAGGTGAGATCCCGGCTGCACCGTGTCAACCACGGGGCCCAGCACTCTGCGGATGAACGCCTTACGTTCAGCAACATCAGCCGGGAAATAGACCGCAACCAAGGTGATGTGAAAAGTGTCAAGTCGAACCTCAGCTGCTACCAGCCGACCAGATGGGTGAATGAGGGTGTTATGCAGTGACAGTCCGTGCCTCCGACAGATCAAAGCAACCCCGCCGGCTTTAGCGGTAGGAGAGGCGACCAGGATCTGCGGCTGCCTAAGCGAGTTCCAGTAAGGGTGATCATCAGTGAGCCTAGAGTCCGACAGTACGATGATGTCTGCTGCCTGCTTCAACCAGTTCTTTGTACGGTGTTGCTTGTTTCCATCCCCCAGGCCGTTGACATTCAGGCCTGCAAATGACAATAAGCTCTTTGTACTCATTTAACCACTGCTTGAAGGCCCCATTGCATCCACAGGCTGGTGATACAGGATACTACTACACAAGAACAAGCAACAGCGACAGCCACACAACTCCTCTTCAGGTGAGCGGACTCCGAACTCAGATTCCATAATCTTTGCGGATGACATGCAGGCTCAGCTTCTCCAGCGAAGCACGCGTGGCCACCCCCAGCTTTTCCAGACCCAACAGGTGACTCGCCGATGTAACATGATCCGCAGCAGCCATGAAGGTCTTGCCGTGAGCTTTCCCACAGCTTTCCTGAGTGCACAGCCACTCCTCCCGGTTGCTTCCAGTGGAGATGAGAACAAAGGCCGCGTCCAGCAGAAGCGGGGTAACAAGCGTAGAAGCGCAGAGAGAAGCAGCTGCGAGGGACAGCCGCGGCGTTAGCGACCGACGACGGTGAGTAAAATAAACGACTGCAAATCCAGGAAGCACAGTTACCGTTGATCCTATGCACCGGACCCACTGTCAAATTCCACTTCCCTATGTTATTCTGACGTTCCATGATGAAAGCATTATGAAACTTGTCATAATGGTGGCCACCACAGAGCGAGCAGGATAGCAGGGTGAAGTGAGCCAGCAGAGTCGTGCCACCCAGCAGCTGATGACGATATTTGTGACGCCATCGGTGCTTGTCGCCAACGTGCGGAACAACCAGCCCTTTGATCTTGTCCGTGTCAGCGCCAGTCACTGGATGAAGGACGCGGTGAAAGCAGTGGCCTTCGCTGAAAGCCGATTGCTTCCGGATCTTGAGCGGATGCTTCACCATCACCTCCAGAACCAGCTCCGGGGGAATGTCAGCGGGAACACCTTTGAAATACACCTCCAGCATCTGGGGACTTGTCGCCTTCATACGCAGGTAAGCCGGATCCTCCTGGTGCAGCTAGAAGCAGTGAATCGTAGTTTCGTTGGGACGCTTATGATCCACCGACGTCTGCTTAATGTTCACTGCGTCGGACTCTCGCAGGAACGACACTTGGAGACGGCTATAGCGGATCTTGGCAACAAACGCTGGGAGCAGCTCCTGAAACTTCACCGTGGCCAAGACGTCATCAGAAAGCAGGTTTGCCCAAACACGCTTCATAAGCGTCCGCACAGTTAGAATAACAGAAGCGACTTCATGCGACGGTATCACGAGAAAAAACAGAATCACCGTCGACCGCAGGTGAGGGGAGATTCCTTTACTCGCGTCAATCTCCAGCTCCTCATCAGAGTCATCTTCGATGAATGAGTCGTCAGCAGCCACCGTGGCCAACGCTTTCAGCTTCTCGACAGAAAGGCCTGTGCTCCCAGCGGTAACTTCCGCTTCAGACGGTAGATTAATGTCCACATCTGAACGCTTGCTGTTAAATTGTAATGTGTTATATGTTGGTAGGCTGTAGTGGGGTAGCCAACATGGGGTACAACCCCAACTAGGGTTTGCTACTTGTACCCAACTGTTTCATTCAATGCACCATTCTTGCCTAGTCCTGTTGATATGGTATCAGAGCAGGAGGTCCCTAGGACCTACCGACCGTTTTTTTAGGGCCCACCACCGCTCGCATGCGGTTACCACGCTACCCCGTGCCCTAGCCTCGTAGCGCCCTCGTGCGCCCTCGTTAGCGCCCTCGCGCGCCCTCGTTAGCGCCCTCGCGCGCCCTCGTTAGCGCCCTCGCGCGCCTCTCGTTAGCGCCCTCGTTAGCGCCCCTCGTTAGCGCCCTCGCCCGCCGCGCTGCTCGTCGCGCTGCCCGTAGCGCTGCCTGTCGCGCCGCGCGTCGCCAGCCGCGCTGCCCGTCGCGATGCCAGTCGCGCTGCCCGCTCGCTGCGCTGTACCCGCCGCGCTGCCCACCAGCAGCGCCGCCCATCCGCCCGTCGCGCTGCCCGCCCGCCCGCCGCGCTGCCCGCTTGCAGCGCCGCCTGCCCGCCGCGCTGCCCGCTCGCAGCGTCGCCCGCCCGCCGCGCTGCCCTCTCACCCTTGACTCAGGTGCTTCCCGCTGTTTCTTTCGTGACAGTACTGAGCTCACTCCGCTTCCTGCACCGGTCCCAGTCTCCTTGGCTGACCCCTCGGGGGGGCCTGTCCTTGCACGGTCCACCACTGTGCTCCCGTGTCCGGCGGTTCCGTCTGGCTCGTTGTCGGGTTTCCACCTCCCCTCGTTCTCGACGAACCTGGTGAGCAACGCTGTCATCCAGGATCAGTGGGTTGATACCTTTACCCCTGGAGGACAGCGTGTGGCGATCCTCACGTGCTCCAGGACCGGCCGTCACCTGGCTACGTTTACCCGTCAGCCGGGGTCGAGTCTCTACACACTGACCACTGCGTCTCCTCAGGTTGCTGCTGTCGGTCAGGTGTCCGCGTCAGGTCTGGTAGCCCACGCCTGTGAGTGTCGTTCCCTGTCGCACCAGACTCTTCTCTGGCACCACCGCCTGGGTCACCCCTCCTTGCCACGCCTCCGTGGCATGCACCGTCGCCACCTTGTGTCTGGTCTTCCCAGGTCCCTCCCTCCCCTCCCTGCCTCGCCTGCGCCGCCTTGCCTTCCTTGCGTCGAGGGGCGGCAGCGCGCCGCTCCTCACTCCTCCTCGTTCCCCCCGACAGAGGCTCCTCTGCAGACCCTCCACCTGGACGTGTGGGGCCCAGCCCGCGTTCGTGGCCAGGGCGGTGAGCGGTACTTTTTGCTGGTTGTCGACGACTACTCGCGTTACACCACGGTCTTCCCCTTGCGCACCAAGGGTGAGGTCCCTGCTGTTCTGATCCCTTGGATCCGCACAGTTCGTCTCCAGCTCCGCCGCCGTTTCCGGACAGATCTTCCTGTCCTGCGTCTGCACTCTGACAGAGGTGGTGAGTTTTCATCCGACCTCTTGAGGACCTTCTGTCAGGCGGAGGGCATCGAGCAGACCTTCACGCTTCCGGACTCCCCGCAGCAGAATGGGGTTGCTGAGCGCCGCATTGGCCTGGTCATGGAGGTCGCTCGTACCTCCTTGGTCCATGCGGCGGCTCCCCATTTTCTGTGGCCGTTTGCTGTCCGGTACGCCGCGCATCAGCTCAACCTCTGGCCCCGTGTCTCCTTGCCGGAGACCTCGCCCACCCTGCGTTGGACGGGGGAGGTTGGCGATGCGTCGCGCTTCCGGGTGTGGGGTGCTCGTGCCCTTGTCCGCGATACGTCCGCGGACAAGCTCTCCTCCCGCACGCTTCCCTGTGTCTTCCTTGGCTTTGTCCCTGACGCGCCTGGCTGGCAGTTTTACCACCCCACCTCGCGCCGGGTCTTCGCCTCTCAGGACGTCACCTTTGACGAGTCGGTCCCTTTTTACCATCTCTTCCCCTACCGCACTGCCCCCCTCCCTCCCCCGCCGCTTTTCCTCGCTCCTGGTCCCCCTCCGGTAGACCCCCTTCCCCCTCAGGGTCCTGCTCCTTCAGGTGTCTCTCAGGTAGACCCTCCTCCCGTCACTGAGCCTGTCGAGGTCACAGGTGACTCAGGTGCTGCTGCAGGTGGTGCTGCTGGGAGTGCTGAGCCTGGGGGTGCTGAGCCTGGGGGTGCTGAGCCTGGGGGTGCTGAGCCTGGGGGTGCTGGGCCTGGGGGTGCTGGGGCTGCGGGTGCTGGGACTGAGGGTGCTGGAGCTGAGGGTACGGTGCCTGAGAGTACGGAGCCTGGGGGTGCTGAGCCTGGGGGTGCTGAGCTTGGGGGTGCTGAGCCTGGGGGTGCTGCGCCTGAGGGTACTGAGCCTGGGGGTGCTGCGACTGAGCCTACGGAGCCTGGGGTTGCTGCGTCTGGGGGTGCTCCGGTTCGGGGTGCTGAGCCGTCTCTCCGGGAGCCTCTCACACAGCAGCAGCTTCGTGACTGGTACGTCCGGCGCTTTCGCCGTCCTCGTGGCCCTGCTGGAGTTGGGGGTGCTGGAGCTGCTCGTCCTGGAGGTGCTCGTACTGGGGGTACTGGAGCTGCCGGGGCTGGTTGTTCTGGGAGCACTGAGGCTGGAGCTGCTGGAGCTGGGGCCTCTGGGGCTGGCGGTACTAGCGGAGTTGGAGCTGCCGGCGCTGGGGGTGCTCTTCCTGGAGGTGCTGGAGCCGCTGGAGCTGACGGTCTTGGAGACGTTGGTCCTGCTGGCTCTGGAGGTGCTGGCGAGGGGAGGTCTGCCGCTGCTGGGGCCTCTGGTGCTGACGTCGCCGGCTCTGGGGGTGCTGCGGCGGGGGGTGCTGGTCCTGGTGCTTTTGGTGCTGGAGGTGCTGGCGGAGCTCCGCCGTCGCGCCTGTTCTTCGCTCCACCGTCGCCGTCGGCTTTGCCACCGCCTGACACGGTACTTCGCCAGGTTCTTTCCCTCCCGTCTTCCACTGGCCTTCCCCTCCAGCCTGGCTCCCCCCTCCCTGCTCCTGTGCCTTACACTGCACAGCCGGACTCGCTTACGGAGCGTCGTGAGCCTGCGTCTCGTCCTGCCTCGCCTGTTCGCGCTGCTCGCACTGCTCGCACTGCTCGCACGGGCCCACTGGCCGTCGTGTCGCGCGTCCGCGTCCTCCTCCTGTTCCTGGCACGCACATTATGGCACTTCGTCCTTCCACTGGTCCACAGCGTGTCCCCCTACCGTCTCCTCCTGCGTCTTCTCTTCCTGACGTTCCCGACCCTGAGTCTGACAGTGTTCGTGCTGCCCACCCTACTGTTACGCGTCTTCTCGCCACTGTTGTCACTGACCCGTCGTTTGAGTCTGCTGCTGCGTCTGCCCTGGTCGCTGAGCTTGTTGACTTTGCTACTGCCTGTCGTCTAGGCTATGCCGCCAGTCTTGTTGCTGAGTCTGAGTCTGTCTGTCCTCCGTCCGTCGGGGGTGAGTGTGCTCTTGGCACGGACGTCCTTGAGGACAGGCAGGAGGACTTTGACTCTCTTGCGGCTGCTGTACCTCATCTCGTGGCCTGGTTGCTTGCCCCTGAGGGAGACCCGGATGCACTAGACATCCCCACTCCGCGCTCTTACGCAGAGGCGATCTCGGGTCCCTACTCCTCTCAGTGGCAGACAGCCATGGACGCAGAGATGGCATCCTGGAAATCCACAGGCACCTACGTCGACGAGGTTCCCCCTCCTGGGGCGAACATCGTCGATGGCATGTGGATTTTCAGGGTGAAGCGGCCGCCAGGTTCTCCACCTGTCTTCAAGGCTCGTTACGTTGCTAGAGGCTTCAGTCAGCGTCAGGGGGTTGACTTCTTCCAGACCTTCTCCCCCACCCCGAAGATGACCACTCTTCGGGTTCTGCTGCACGTTGCTGCTCAGCGTGACTACGAGCTTCACTCTCTTGACTTCAGCACAGCGTTCTTGCAGGGCAGCCTGCACGAGGAGATCTGGCTGCGCCGCCCACCTGGCTTTACTGGGTCGTTTCCTCTTGGTACCCAGTGGAGCCTCCGGCGGCCAGTCTACGGTCTCTGCCAGGCGCCACGCGAGTGGCACGACACACTGAGGACTACACTTGCGGCCCTTGGGTTTGCTCCTTCCACTGCTGACCCGTCACTGTTCCTGCGCACAGACACGTCGCTGCCGCCGTTCTACATCCTCGTGTACGTCGACGACTTGGTCTTTGCCACTGCTGACACTGAGGCACTCGCTCGTGTGAAGTCGGAGCTGCAGAAGAGACACACTTGCACTGACCTGGGAGAGCTGCGTAGCTACCTTGGCTTGCAGATCACCCGGGACAGAGCACGCCGCACCATTACCCTGACTCAGTCACACATGGTGCAGCAGGTCCTTCAGCGCTTCGGCTTCCAGTTCTCCTCACCACAGGCCACACCTCTGGCTACCAGCCACTCGCTCTCAGCTCCACCTTCGGACGAGTCCGTAGAGCCGAGTGGCCCGTACCCAGAGCTTGTAGGCTGCCTCATGTACCTGATGACTTGCACGCGACCTGACCTTGCGTACCCTCTTAGCATCCTTGCTCGTTACGTTGCGCCTGGGAGACACAGGCGAGAGCACTGGGAGGCTGCTAAGAGGGTGCTGCGTTACTTGTGCAGTACATCAGGCATGGGGCTGGTGCTTGGAGGACGCGACAGAGTTGTCCTCACTGGTCACTCGGACGCTTCTTGGGTGGACGACCTGGCTACGCAGCGGTCGTCGCAGGGTTACACCTTCAGCCTTGGCTCTGGTTCTGTCTCGTGGCGGTCCACCCGCTCTTCTTCTGTTCTCAGCTCTAGTTGTGAGGCTGAGATCTACGCCACGGCCATGGCTGCACAGGAGTTACGCTGGCTCACCTACCTGCTGACTGACTTGGGAGAGCGGCCTAGTTCTCCTCCAGTTCTGTACGGCGACAACAAGGCGGCCCTTGCCTTGTGTCAGGAGCACAGACTGGAGCACAGGACGAAGCACATTGCTCTTCGCTACTTTCTTGCTCGAGAGCTGCAGCAGCGCGGTCAGCTTCGGCTTGTGTACGTGGACTCGAAGGCCAACACTGCTGATATCTTCACCAAGGCGCTCCCGCCTAGTGATCATCAGCGGCACTGTACTTCTTTAGGCCTTGTGTCCACATTCCCTCATTTGCTTACTGCTTGACTTTCTTTGTACTGTACTTTATATATATCTTGTTGCTTGCTTGCTAGGTTTTGATCACTGTGTTGCTTGTCTTGTACTATATCTAGCACTGCATGTGAACTGGCCTTGTGGCCTTTGCTTGTGCTCGGAGTGTGGTGACGTTGTGATCCACCCTGGGCTTGCGTTGCTTTGCTGGACTGGTCTTGTGACCCTTTGTTCTCCCCCACTTTGCCTATGGGGGTGTGTTAAATTGTAATGTGTTATATGTTGGTAGGCTGTAGTGGGGTAGCCAATATGGGGTACAACCCCAACTAGGGTTTGCTACTTGTACCCAACTGTTTCATTCAATGCACCATTCTTGCCTAGTCCTGTTGATACTTGCTCGGCGTTGACTTGCTCGCAGGGTCAGGACCACAAGCAGGGTTGACCAAGGCAGCTTCGGCCACTGCCTTACGAGAGTTCTTCGGAGGCATCGTGCGATGATGACAAGTGGCCGGCCGAAACTCTGACAAATGGAGTTGTTGAGAGCAATGAGCCGGTAGTCTGAACACATCACTGTTAAATAGCAATCTTGCCAAAGCCTTAGCCCATTGCTCCTGACATAGATGTTGCAGAACCGCTGTGGTAACTTCAGGGTCATCTTGATATATCAATGTAGAATCTAGAGAGCCAATTGATGATAGCTTAGCTGGTAGCCTTGTGATGACGCTTAACCCTGGGAACCGCGCGTTAACCTTGGGCTTTGGCTGGTTGATCAGCGTAACGCACCAGTGAGAGGAAAATAAAATGTTCGCCTGATGAACACAAAACGTATATGTTCCTCTTCGTCTTGCTGTATCGATTACGTTGTTGATAAGATTAAAGCCAACTGACAAATAGGCTTCACGCAATGTGAGTTCCAGGCTGACGCCAGGCAGCCATGGCGGCGAGATCGAGGTTTCCATACTGGCTGGTAACTTACAGTCACCGAAAGGGTTGTTACAAATCAGTGATGAGAATTCAAGCCTTGAATATGTTTTTTCAAGCATTTCATGTATTTGCTTCCATTGTCCGCTGTAAACGTCGCCCTGTAACGAGTTCAGCGGAAATCTTTGTCTCCTCCTCGGTTGTGCCCTCCCTTCAACCCGTTGGATGATCCGACGGTTACGATCAGTTGCGCGTCATCACCACCCAAACGCGATCCCCACCTGAGAGTAGCATGGCAGGCCATCAGCGGCGGACAGGAGCGCAGATTAATCTGTACACGGAACGCCACGTGTATCAAGCCTGTCATGCTGTATGCTTGTCGGGTCACACGGTGCGAGCTCCAGAGCTCGATTCAACCGATTAACCAAGACGGAATTGATTAGTTTGTGGCGATCGGAGTCGATGGACGCATATAAACTTGTTTTGAGTGGACTCAACCCTGTCAGTCCCCACCACGCCTCGTGCATGCGGTTAGCAGCTTCCCTCCCTTCCTCACGCCTTCCCAGAGTTATTATGACGCTGACACTTCAGCTGTGATAGGACGTGGTCTGGCTTCATGCCTATTCCCACGCTTAAAACCGGGGTTCCAAGAGTTTCGAAGTTAGGGAGGTTGCTTGGGGCAAGGGATGTGAGTGGCGGGCGAACCAGGGTGGTGTCGAGATTTGTGGACGCGGATCGCAGAGCTTGAGTACCTCGCGTGTGTAACCAGATCTTGAATGCAACGCACGAAATAGCTCGCAACAGTTTCGGACGGGCTTCAAATCTTTGTGCGAAATCGTCACTGCTCTCGCTCTCGCTAGTACAGTAAATTCGTGTGACGAAATTTGTCCCGACAAATTGCGAAGTGGGTCACTTCCAACTGGGTCACACCCAACCGAAGTTAGGAAGGTTGAGGCAGTTTAGGCCTGTTTGGGACTCCGGTTTTAACTCTCAGGGATGCTGAGGATTCTCGGAAACACGCTCAGTGCCATGCCTCACGCCTAGGAGTATTTCTCACTCCTTGTTCAGACTGCTTCCCGTGCATGCCGCCTCTTTCCGAACCCAGGGGAGGGGACTATTTGCCCGTCGATTCTTCCAAATGTCGTCGCACGGAAGGCGAAACCGCTTCAGGGTTACCACGCAGAAAGACAGTAACATGCCTGCGTACGAACAGGTAATCCAGCAGGGGGTGCGAGACAGCCGCATGTTACCATGTAGCGCCCCGGGTTCGCCGTTTCGTTTAACCAGCATCCCGTCACTCCCCTCTCCCCACAAACTCCTCTCTTTCCCCCTCCGAACCTCATCCCCCCCCTCCCACTCTTACACTCGCTCCGCCCGCACTCCCCTCTTCCCTTGCTCTGTTCCCTCGCCACCTCCCGCTTCTTTCAGTCTGTGCTCTTTCTTGTCCTCCTCATGATTCCTGATCTTCTCTCTTGCTGCTTGCTGCGCCACCTCTCTCATCCCTCTCACTGCGCAAGATCGCTGCTGCTTCCTGCTCCATCTCGTTCTCCCTTGTTCTCTTTTTTTCTTACGCTCGCTGTTGCTCAGTTAATTCCCAACTGTAACTCATGGGTCGGACGGTGGGAGTGGTGGTGGCGGTAGCAGGGCTGGTAGCAGCTCTGCTTGCCACGTGGCTCACCAGGTGGATGCTCGCGGTGGTTCCGAATGATGAATTGCACGCCAGCCAGCACTTGCAGACTGTACGTTACCGAGTTGTCTTTGGCGTATAAATTCTTAGTCTATTACTCGTCAAGAGGCTCGTAGTAGCAGCTCTGCTTGCCACGTGGCTCACCAAATGGATGCTCGTGGTTCCGAGTGATGAATTGCACGCCAGCAAGCACATGCAGGCTGTCTCATGTCATATCGTTCGTCATGTCGTTCCAGCCTTTCCACACCCACCGTCCAGCATCATGCACTTGCTTACGCTCTCTGGTGGAAGAAGCCAAGCCATTGATATTGATCAACCTTGATCCTATTGCTTTTGAGAATTCTCAAAAGCGTCTCTGGTGGAAGAAGCCAAGCCATTGACATTGATCAACCTTGATCCTATTGCCTCTGCAGCTCCCTCAGCTGGTGAACATCTCTGCGCAAGCACCCGAGCCTTTGGTGCAAGAAGCCAATCCGTTGGCATCAGTCACGCTCGCACCGTGCATTGTTCTTCACCTTTATCCTTTTGCGTCCTACAGCTCCCTCAGCTGGCAAACATCTCTGCGCAACCACCCGAGCCTTCGGCGCAAGAAGCCAACTTTCTGTGCATTGTTCCCAATCTTCTTCCTATTTCCCCTCGTAGCTCCCTCAGCTGGTAAACATCTCTGCGCAACCACCCGAGCCTTTGGTGCACGAAGCCAAGCCTTTGTTGAGCCTTCCTGGTGTAAGCACAAGCGTCAAGTGAAAAGCGATAGTGTCAATTATGGCTGTTCGTATGCGCGTCTGAGCATTACAAGTGCCTGATTATTATGGAATCTGCTACTTCTCTGCCATTTTCCCCATTTTTCAACAAATGTGAAAATGTGAGCATGACACAAGTGCCTCATCATTATGAAATTTGCTATTTTTCTGCTATTATTATGAAAGCTAGCTACACAGATGCCATTTTTCCATCTGTCTTCCTCCTGGCATCTGTGTAGCCAGCTCGCGCCATGTGCATTGCTGTAGTGAATTCTTCTCGTTGCTCCTCTCCTCCTTCTGCATGCATGTGCCACTCTCCATCCAGCCCACAGGCAGTACCCCCCAACCGGGTGCCAAGACACTCTTATCGTACCTTCAACATGCTTGCCACTGGGTCATGGCTCTTCGGCCTTTCAAGGAGCAGTTATCTCTCCTTCAGCTGCTTCTTTACGCGCGCATGGCCTATCATGTTCTGATGGTACGTAAATGTGGATTTTGTTGATGTCTTTTCGTGTTTCATGTGTCTAGCGGCAGGTTCTGCGTTTGCTTGTATGTGAGTAGAAAGGCAAGCGACCTTTTCAGTGCATCATTCAACAACTGCAGGAAAGTGGGTATGTTGATTATCCACTTACATACATGTAGCTCAGCTGGGGGTGGGTAGAGGGTTCCGCTGCTGCGGCACCCCTTGGCGGAGTGTGTCCAAAGCTATAGTTTTCCCTTGCTGCACTGAGTTAAATATTGTTTTCTCATTCCTATGTTATGTTGCTCCTATATTATGTCATGTAGCGGTCGATAGTCGATTGGATCTTGACCTCCCAGTATCTAATGTCAAAGTGCACTCTATTTCTCAGGTGCCCATGATAGTTAGAACAGGTTCGCACGTCCCTCGTGCAAGTGAGCTGCGCATATTGCTCTAGGATCGACTTTTTTTAGACTTATTTTTCTTGGATCTACACTTTGTTTCTTTGCAGGTTTCCACTTTCTGCATAGCCGGCGCGACTGTCTGTTCTCTAGTGGGCGTGCACGTCTTTCGTTCAATTCGAAACAAGGCTTTCACACTTGAGCCCTTCATCATGAGGCAGACAGTAAAGGAGGTTGAAGCAGGGGGGGCAGGCAACGTGGATGCGGTTATAGGGCGAGGGCTGAATGACGAGGTGGGGAGGAGGAGCAGGGAGGAGGGGAATAGTGAGGTGCATGAGGTAAAGGGTGAGTCGAATGGTGAGTTGAAGGGTGAGTTGAATGGTGAGTTGAAGGGTGAGTTGAAGGATGAGTTGAAGGGTGAGTTGAAGGGTGAGTTGAAGGATGAGTTGAAGGGTGAGTTGAAGGATGAGTTGACGAATCTATCGGCTGGCATCTGTGCTGGTGTGGAGAAAGAGAGGATGGCGGGAGCAGTGGAGCGGGAGTTGGGTGAGATGAAGGGCCGTTTGCTGAAGGTGGAAGCTGAAAGGGAAGCTGCAATGAAAGTCGCTGCAGAGCAGGCTACTGCGGAAAAGTTGGGAGAGGTGGAGCGTGAGTTGGGTGAGCTGAAGAAGCGTTTTCGTAAGGTGGAGGGTGAACAGACAGCTGTGGCGAAAGTGGCTGCAGAAAAGGCAGATTTGGAGAAGTTGAATGGCTTGGTGGGAGCAATGCAGCGTGGGTTGGGTGAGGTCAAGGACCGTATGATCAAGGTAGAGGGTGAAAACGCAGATGCAGAGAAGGTGAATGACTTGGAGAAAGTGACGCGCGAGGGTTTTGCAGCAGTGAAAGGGGAAGTTGCAGCAGTGAAGGGGGAAGTTGCAGCAGTGAAGGGGGAAGTTGCAGCAGTGAAGGGGGAAGTTGCAGCAGTGAAGGGGGAAGTTGCAGCAGTGAAAGAGAAAGTAGCAGCAGTGGAAGGGGAGTTGGCTGATCAGAAGGCCCGTCTGTTAGAGTCAGAGGCAGCAAGGGATGGGGGCTTTGCTTGGAAGGAAGAAGTTACCTCAGTGAAAGGGGAAGTGGCAGCCGTGAAGGGAGAAGTGGCAGCAGTAAATGAGAAAGTAGCAGAAGTGGAAGGGGAGTTGGCTGATCAGAAGGTTCGTCTGTTGGAGGAGAAGAAGAAGGTTGTGGAAAGGGGGGCGCATGAAAGGGTGAAACGCGACGCGAAGCAGGGCCCTGATGAAGCGGCAATGCGCAAGATATTGCAGCAGCCTGGTGCGCTCACCAAGGAGCAAGTGGAGGAGTGCAGGCCATCGTGATTCGTGAGAGTGATTCGCACACGACTCGTGAAGCTTGCGGAAAGGGAGTTGCTGTTGCATGACGCAAGCGTAGGAGTGTTGACAGTTGTGAGCCGTTGTTAGCCGACTCAGAACTGCGTGTGATGAGTCGAGAAGGAGGCAGGCGGTGCAGAAGAGGAGGGGAACTGGGATGGGTTTTGGTGACTCTGGTAGCGAATGGCTTGTATTGTACAGACTTGTATAGCGGATGCTGACCTGAAAACAATAAAGGATGTGGCTGCAAGTTTAAGGTTTAGAGGTCCATGTGTGGAGAGGATGAAGTGCAGTGCTTGTAGGGGTTGGCATACTATGGTACTACCAGTGCTAGACATACGGTGGGCCTGAGTTTAATGATATTTGTGTTGGCAACGAATACCATATCGCCCCGGATATAAGCGCAGGCCTATTAAAAGCGCATGCGCTTCTATCTGGAGCAATGCGCTTATGGCCGATCCTCAATTAAAAGCGCACCCCCTAAAAAATATTGACTTATTATAAGCGCACCCTTGCTGTTTAGACAACAGTATATGAGGATTTTTTTTTTTTTCATTTTTGGGTTGCGTAGCAACCTTATACATTCGTTTTCACTTTTCGGTTGACTGACGTGAACAGTGATTTTCTGTCAAATGTGGTAGCCTATAGTGAGGTTTGTCTTAGGGAGTACAAAAGTTAGGGTTAGCTACTTGTACCCCAACCAACATGAATGCATCATCAATTCCTCAGTTTGACATGGTATCACCTAGGTTCGGATCCTGTGGGATCCCGCTCCTCCCGTCCTCGTTCGTTTCTTCCGAGCCTGTCTCACTCGTTCCGCCCGTCTTGCCCGAGCCTAGTGCCGGCCCGATCTAGTCCCGTTCGTTCGTTACCACTCGTTATGCCTCCCGATCTAGCGTAGCCCGATCCAGTGTAGCCCGATCTAGCGTACCGCTGCTCGTCGCGCTGCGCTTCCCCCCGCTGCCCGTCGACCCGCGCTTCCCCCCGCTGCCCGTCGAACCGCGCTCCCCCCCCCCCCCCCCCCCCCGCTGCCCGTAGCACCGCGCTTCCCCCCGCTGCCCGTCGACCCGCGCTTCCCCCCGCTGCCCGTCGACCCGTGCTTCCCCCCGCTGCCCGTCGAACCGCGCCTCCCCCCCGCTGCCCGTCGCCCAGGCCCGCGCCCTAGCCCGTCGCCCTGGCTCGCGCCCTAGCCCGTCGCCCTGGCCCTACGCGGTCAGGTACGCCGCGCACCAGCTGAACCTCTGGCCACGTGTCTCTCGGCCAGAGGCTTCACCGACCAGTCTTTGGACCGGGTCCCCTGGTGTTGCGTCGAGGTTTCGTGTCTGGGGGTGCTTGGCTCTTGTCCGCGACACCTCCGCGGACAAGCTCTCGCCTCGCGCCGTTCCTTGTGTCTTCCTTGGTTTCCATGAGAACTCCTCTGACTTCACCTTTTACCACCCTCCCTCTCACCGGTTCTTTGACTCCCGTGACGTCCGTTTCGAGGAGTCCACCCCCTACTACGTCAGGTACCCCAGTCGAGGTCTCCCGGTCCCTCCCCCCCCTCTCTTCCTGACCGCCGCTCCCCCGCCTGCTCCCCCGGTACAGCCTCCCCCCCCTGGTCCAGCCCCGTCCGGTGTGTCCCAGGCTACCCCTCCCCCTTCGGTAGCCCCTCCGGTACAGCCTCCCTCCCCACAGTCCTCTAAAGAGGTTGGTACTGAGACTGTCCCTGTACCGGTTTCTGGTTCTGGGGGTGCTGGAGTTGGAGCTGAGCCGCGGGTTGCAGAGGACTCTTGTCTTCCGGGAGCTGGTGCTGGTCGTGCGGAGTCTGGGGGTGCTGCGTCTGGGGGTGAGGGTGACCCCCCTTCGGTTTCTGGTGAGCCTGGGTCTGGAGCTGGTGTTGGTGCTGCCTCTGGGGGTGGTGTGCCTGGTGCTTCGGAGGTGGACTCTGGGGCTGCCGCTGCCCCGGACACTACTCCTTCCCCCCACCCCTACCCGACCAGGTTCCAGGCTCGTGTTCGCCGTGCTCGTGAGGAGCAGCTGGAGTTGGAGAGAGAGGAGCGAGAGTTGCAGCGGCTCGAGGAGCAGGAGCGATAGCAGCAGGAGCGGCAGCAGGAGCAGCAGCCGCAGCAGCAGCAGCAGCCGCAGCCGCAGCAGCAGCAGCAGCAGCCGTCTCCTCCTCCTGTCTCGGGTCTTCGGACCCTTGGTCTCCCCTCTCCCTCTCCTTCCTCCTCCCCCTCTCCTCCCGTCTCTGGTCCTCCGCTTCCTCCTCCTGACCCCTCTCCCGCTGTTTTCCCTCGTTCTCAGTCTTCGTTGTCCCCTCCTCCTTCTCAGACTTGGGCCTCTCGTCGCTCCCCTCGTGCTCGTCCCTCGTCTCCTGTTCCCTTCACTGACCTTCGTACTGCCTTACTTTGTTCTCGTCCACCTCGACCGTCTCCGTCTGTGCTTCCGTCTCCTCCTGAGTCTGCCCTCACTGCGTCGCTTCCTACTCCTGTCACTGACTACTACCGCACGTACCGTCCTGTTCTCTCTCGTGTTCTCGCCTCTCTTGTTACTCACCCTCGTGCCTCTCTGTCCTCTGTGTCCGCTCTTACTGCCGCAGTCACTGACTTTGCCTCTACCCGCCGCCTTGACTTCGCCACCGGTCTTGTGGCTGCTCCTCCTTCCAGTCCTCTGGCCGTCGGGGGTGTGTCTGCCCTTGGCTGTGACGCCCTAGAGGACAGGCAGTTTGAGCTAGAGTTCCTGGCAGCCGCTTCCCCTCATCTCTGTGCCATGCTCCTCGCCCCTGAGGGTGACCCCGACGCCCTTGACATTCCGACTCCTCGCACTTACGCTGAGGCAGTGTCAGGGCCTTGGGCCTCTCAGTGGAGAGCTGCCATGGACGCAGAGATGGCCTCCTACAGATCCACAGGCACCTACGTCGATGAGGTTCCCCCCCCTGGGGCGAACGTAGTCGACGGCATGTGGATCTACAGGGTGAAGCGGCCACCGGGATCTCCCCCGGTCTTCAAGGCGCGCTACGTGGCTAGAGGTTTTAGTCAGCGCGAGGGAGTTGACTTCTTTCAGACCTTCGTGCCCACCCCGAAGATGACTACTCTTCGGGTGTTACTGCACGTAGCAGCACAGAGAGACTACGAGTTACACTCTCTCGACTTCTCCACTGCTTTCCTTCAGGGCAGCCTACACGAGGAGGTCTGGCTGCGTCGTCCCTCTGCCTTCACTGGCACCTTCCCTCCTGGGACCCAGTGGAGGCTGAGGCGACCTGTCTACGGTCTTCGCCAGGCCCCTCGTGAGTGGCACGACACTCTGCGTTCTACCCTCTCTGACCTTGGGTTCCAGCCTTCTTCTGCTGACCCGTCGCTGTTCGTTCGTCGTGGCTCCACACCTTTCTTTGTTCTGGTCTACGTTGACGACCTCGTTTTTGCCACTGCTGACAGGGTTGCTTTGGCACACGTGAAGTCCGAACTGCAGAAGAGACACACCTGCACTGACCTTGGTGAACTGCGCCACTACCTTGGCCTGCAGATCACCAGGGACAGAGCTGCTCGCACCATTACACTTTCACAGTCACACATGGTGCAGCAGGTCCTTCAGCGGTTCGGGCTTCAGCACTCCACAGTACAGCGCACACCTCTTGCTGTTGACCACAGACTCACTGGACCCTTTCCTGACGAGCCGTTTGAGCCTAGTGGTCCCTACGCAGAGCTTGTGGGTTGCCTCATGTACCTGATGACTTGTACTCGCCCGGACCTCGCCTTCCCTCTCAGTGTCCTGGCGCGCTTTGTTGCGCCAGAGAAACACCGCCCTGTTCACTGGACAGCAGCTGTGAGGGTGGCGAAGTACCTAGCGACGACATCAGGCGTGGGGCTAGTTCTTGGAGGACAGCAGTCTGTCGTACTTACTGGTCACTGTGACTCTTCTTACGCTGACGACACTGAGACTCACAGGTCTACTCAGGGGTACTGTTTCAGCCTGGGTTCTGGAGCTGTTTCCTGGCGGTCCACGCGCTCCTCTTCGGTCTCGACCTCTACAGCTGAGGCTGAGATCTACGCTGGTGCCATGGCGGCACAGGAGCTGCGTTGGTTGACCTTCTTGCTCGCCGACCTTGGTGAGCGGCCGAGCTTTGCACCGACCTTGTTCACTGACAACAAGGCGTCGATTCTCCTTTGTCGAGAGCCGCGACTGGAGAGCAGAGTGAAGCACATTCACGTCAGGTACTTTCTTCTGCGAGAGTTGCAGAGACGTGGACAGGCTCGCTTCGAGTTTGTGGAGTCCGAGGCCAACACTGCAGACATCTTCACCAAGGCGCTTGCGCCTTGTGACCACCAGAGGTGCTGTGTGCAGTTAGGCCTTGTTGACACTGGTTCTCGTCTTGCTTAGACTTGAGTGCACTGTTTACTTTGCTTGTACGCTTTCTATATATCTTTGTTATATCTTGGACTGGCCTTGTGGCCACTGGTGCTTGTGCTCAGAGAGTGTGGTGACGTTGTGATCCACCCTGAGCTTTGTTTCTTGGACTGGTCTTGTGACCGTACTCTTTTGATTCTGCTAGACACCCCTCACCTAGGCTATGGGGGTGTGTCAAATGTGGTAGCCTATAGTGAGGTTTGTCTTAGGGAGTACAAAAGTTAGGGTTAGCTACTTGTACCCCAACCAACATGAATGCATCATCAATTCCTCAATTTGACATTTTCCCCCATCATTTTAGGAAGAATCACTGTTCACGAAGTCCCAGGAAACGTGAAATCAAATATACCCAGCTATCATTCCATAATCGTCGATAAATACGGCGAATGGAGTAATTGGTACGGTAGGACAAAAACGTGAGGACAAAAGACAACACCCGAGACCCACATACACAATTTACCATATGCGCATACAAAAACCACATTGGGAAAGCGTGCATGTTTCGAGGCAAATATTAAAATGCATCAATGCTGCAACCGAAGTTGATATGGTACGGAAGAGGCGAGCAAACCTGCCCCACCGACGATGACAACGCCAATTGCACA